AGAGAAATCAGTTTACCGGTTTTTAAAAAAAAAAAAGAAAATTAATTCCTCTTGCTAACCTTGCGGTGATGGGTAACAATCTTGACTGTTCCAATAAAAATCACAAGTTCAAGTTTACACTATGGAACCTGCTCTGGGAAATTCCCCTCCCCTCCTGCTCCTCCTCCCCCAAAAAGCAGATCCCAGCAAGTTTTATCAGGTTTCACATTGATGCCTTTTTTCATTTCCTTACCCATCCATGCCTTGAAAGACCTAAAACCACTGTGTGAATTCACTGTAGCGCCTTGGAGTCAGGATTGTGGTGACCAGGAGCTCCCAGCCCACCCAGCACAACACTCGGTTGCGTTGATCCCACCTTACCTGTGCACCTGCTGTCCTGTGCCTTAAACCTTCTACTTCTTTGGGGAAAACATCCGAGCTGCAGGGAGGGGATGGGCAGAGCTGAGGGGGGGAGCAGCTCTGCCTGACCATCAGCCGGGGGAGCTGGCAAAGTGGATAAAGGAAACTTTTGGGCTGTGACTCAGGGCAGTTCCCCGCTGCCCCCTGTGTGTGTCTCGATCTCCACGTGTGCCCTGTGCCACTTCCCAGTCTGCTCGTGGGTCATTGCCACCTGCAGACTCAGGTGGGAGTTACCTGAGAGCCTCTGGCTGAGCAAAGGTCTGGGTGGGGGAGCATTCCCAAGGCCAAATCACATTCCAGTGTCAGGAGCGAGCCCGCAGGCTCTGCCCTCACAGAGGGACAAAAGAGCCGCTGTGGGACACTTGTGAAGATGAATCAGTTTGTCAAAATTGTGTGTGTATATACCTAAATGCTTGGCTAGGATTTGGAGAATCCTTGGATACCCCACAATTAGAAAGGTGCCTGCAAGAGGTACCTTTGTGCCCCTAATTGGAGATTAACGAGGCTGCTGTAGCTCCGCCGTCGTTCTTAGAGCATGTCTTCAGCATTTGAGCTTTTGTTTGAATCCTTGTATTATACTTTGATGCCGTTGCTGTCCTCTGTGCCTAGCAATATTTCCAGTTGACCAAATATTCTAATCTCTTTATATGCAAAAGAAATAGTTTTAAGTACCTTTTATAGAATGATAAGATGGTATAAACGTAATCTAAATTTACTCCTTTGTGGTATTACCCGTGTATACTGTACTTTATTTTCTTTGTTTTGTAATTGAAGCTGTAGGGCAGGAGTAGTTTCCAGGCTGAGGTCGTGGCTGAGGATGAGCAGAGCTGAGGGTGTGAGAGAATGAGCACAAACAGCTCAGAAATAGAAGGAAAAGGACCCAGGCTAAAGATTTTTTTTTTTTACCTTTTGAACCTATAAGCCCAGATGTTGTTCTAGGAAGGGAATTTATTAAAAGTAGAATGCAGCAGATCAGTTTTTCCCAATGATACAACAATTATTTTTTTTTTTCTGGCTTACAACTCTTTCCCGGGCCATTCTGCCTTCTATTCCGTGTGATCCGATGTTGCCTTACATTTCCCTCTAACCTGCAACCTGTTCGGATGCAAAATAACAAGAATCTTGTACTTTTTTTCAGGGTTTTTCTGCAAATTGTGGACCAAAGTTTGTTTTTTAATTGTCTTAGTGTTGCAAGTTCTGATTTCCTTGCTTGGTGTGGGAGCTCTTGACTTGCCTAGCACTGAGTGTTTGGAAAAGTCTTAACTTTCTGTAGTTCCTCCCTGGACTCTCAAGGATATGAATTATGCTGGAGAAGCATGTGAGGTCCGAGTGAGAGCCCCCCTGGTGCTGTGGTGTGCTGGGTACCCCCGAGGAGGGCAAATCCCTGCTGACAGCATCACCCCAGCTGCTTTTGGGTACCTCTAAATCTGTGCTGGAGCCAGGGATCTGCCCCTGCAGAGCTCCCCAAGGCCCTGCCACCATCCTTTACAGCTGGGGGTCTGTGGCTTGTCCCCTCCCTAGTGAAACACCTCCCACAGGGGACCCAGCCCAGCAGCACTGGGGTGACTGGTCAGTGCCCCCCATCACCCTCCCCAGCTCTGGGGAGGCTCCTGGGGCTGGGACACTCGGGGTGTCCCGTGGAAATCACAGCTGGGTTTGGGGTAACCAGGCCCCCAGCACGGCGGGCGCTCCCTTCGGATCCTGTGTTTGCATGTAAAGAATGTGAGTAACTAAGGGTGTACATATTTATAATTTTTTTATACCTGTTGTAAGACATGAGGGGCAGCAAAACCCAGTTTTTTATGGTGACCAGATGTATTGTATATTTTGATAACAGCAATTCCAGGTTCAGTATTGTGGAAGGTGGGTGGGGAGGGGAAGTGTACACACCATCAGAATTCCATTGCCTCTTTCAAAGAATGTTTGTAATGCAAAATGAAATGAAATTAAAACTATTTTATAACAACCTTTGTACCTTTCTGTAGCTCCATTATTTCCTGTTGAGATTGTAGAAGCAGTTGGTGCCCAGTCTGTACTTGTGCTTTCAATAAATTCTTCTGTATCCTTCACTCCTGATCTTCCTCCTCTTTATTGTGCCTGTTTTGCTTCTGATTTTTCCTTCTCATGTAATTCCAGCTGCCTCATTTTATTTAACTTTTGACTTTTCCCACACTCTGAGCTGGCAGTGCGTGTCCCTGTCTCCCTGGAGCCATGGATGGGGTTGGCCAGAGCCCCAAGGCCTGAGGCTGTGGGGCCCTCACTGATGCCCTGCCTGTGTCACACTCCAGCACTTTGTTACTTCATGTTCCTAAACTTTCCATACGTTCTGGCTAATATCCATGAAAAATAACCCACTTTGAGTCCAACCCTCCTCTCTCTAGTCCTGTGCTGTAGCTGTGGGGCTGGATGTGGCGTTCTCCATCCTGTGGGATGAGATGCAGCTCCCATCTCTCCTCAGGAGCAGAGTGCTTCCTTAGGGATCTGGTTCTGTACATTCAGCTCTGCTCAGAGTCCTGTCCAAAAGTGTCCTGGAGGGAGACAATCCCCACCTGGAGCTGCTGCTGTGGCCCTGCTGGGCCCATCCCTGCGGGCTGAGCTGCCATTATGCTCCCGTGTATTCCACAGGCGTTTGCACAGAGCTCTGGCTCCAGGGTTACCGAGGGGGTCCTGCCGGAGCGGGGGGCTGCTGAAAGGGACCACTGTTGTTCTCTGAAAGGCTGATGGGATTTGTAACAGCTGCCTGTGAAAGCCGGCCCGAGGGCGATGCGATGCAACCCTTCAAGAGAGAGCAGGGTCGTGGCTCCGGGGCTGCTGCCCTGAGCTCGCTGGGGCCCAGCCCAGGCTTTGCAACCATCGCGGGCATTCCTGTGCCCGTCCCTGTGCCCTTCCCTGGCCCCTCGGACGCTGATCGGCTGCTGGCACGGGGGGTGGCAGCGATGGTCCCCATGGGAGCAGCAGTGGCTTTGGGGGGTCGTGTCCTGCCCCTTCCCCCGGCAGAACCCCCCAGCCGTGCCCCAGACAGAGCAGAGCCCGTGCCGGGGCTGCCTCTGACACTGCCCTGAACGCTGTTTTTAACGGGAAAACGGGGGAGATCGGGGCTGCTGCAGCGGGACCGCGCAGCCCTTCCAGCTGCCAAAGCCCGGCCTTGGGGAAGGGGCTGTGTGCAGGGTGAGCCCCCCAAAGCCCGGCCTTGGGGAAGGGGCTGTGTGCAGGGTGAGCCCCCAAAGCCCGGCCTTGGGGAAGGGGCTGCGTGCAGGGTGAGCCCCCCAAAACCCGGCTTTCCCCACGCCCCCCGCACCGTGGGGTGCAGAAAGGGAATTAGCTGCCAGCCGGAACCCCAAAGCACTCACCCCACATCGGGGAGCGATTTGGGAATCCCAAATGGTAAAGCGAGCCCCGGGGCGGGGCCGGGAGTGGGGCTGAGCCCTTTGTGTGCCACAAAGGCGAGCCCTGTCCCTGGGGCTCACCCGGGGGACACCGGGGACTCCTGCAGAGGGTGTCCCCAGCGGAAAAGGGACACGGGACACGTGTGGTGCCGAGGCAGAGCCCAGGCTGGAGCTGATGAGGCGGGGGCTGACAGCCCCTCCTGCTGCAACCCGGGGGGAGGATGAGGATGAGGGTGAGGATGGTCCCTCTCCCTCCCGACCCCGCGGGTCCCCAAGCCATGCAGCAGCTGGGGGGGGCTGCCCAAGGCGGGTGCGGGGCTGGGGGGTTGCCCGAGACTGCGAGAGCGATGCGGGGCTGTCAGTTGCCATGGAAACCGCTGGGTCAGAGGCGGCGGGAAGCGGCGTGTGACGCCATCGGCACCGCAATGAGCCGTGAGCGCGGGGGCGACGGGGGGCTGCTGGGCTGGGAGCCCCCGCATCGCCGCGACCCCCACCAGGGACCGCCGGAGCGCGGCGTCAACCCCGGCGACCTTGGCCAGCGGCTGCGGGTCACCTCTTCGTGTCCCCTCTCCGTGTCCCCTCTCCGGGTCCCTCTCTGGGTCCCCTCTCCGGGTCCCCTCTCCGTGTCCCCTCTCCGGTCACCTCTCTGTGTCACCTCTCTGTGTCCCCTCTCCGGGTCCCCTCTCCGTGTCCCCTCTCCGGTCACCTCTCCGTGTCACCTCTCGGGGTCCCCAGCACCACAGCTGGATGGAGCAGCCCCAGGGCCTCGTGCTGGTTGGAGTTGGACCCCTCGTCTCCCACCCCCCATAACCCCCCACGCCACGAGATGCTGCCACAACCCCCCTGCTAATCCCGGGTGGCTTTTCCAGCACCGAGTCGGGGTTATGTGGATAATCCATATGTTTGCAAGGCAAAGGCTTTGGGATATCCACTGTTAATCCAATTGGCAGTGGCAGTTTGGTGCCATCGGCGCAGTGTCCTGTGTGGGGGGACATGGCTGCCCCACTGCTTCCCAAGGCTGGGAATTCCTGCAGAGCCCTGGTCCTACCCCCCGCTACAGTCGTGAGATTCAGCTGCCCCCACCTGCCAAAATAACCCAGCCAGGGAACATCCATGTGTTTATTTGCTTTTCAAACCACAGCAGCTCCAGCTGTTGCCCGACATTCGCAGCCTGGAGATCCCCTCCCTGCTCCCCCCAAACTCAGCTGCAGCCCAGGGCTGCTCCTCCCGGGGCAGAGCTCAGCCCCCGCTGCACCCCCACCCCAATACCCCCCTCTCTCCAGTCCCTGCAGTATTTACAGCCTCTCACGCCCAGAGCCACAGCGCCGGGCAGACCTCCCCTCCCAGCCTGTCCACCCTCAGGCTCCCTGACACAGACCGGTGGTGCAGGATGGGGGGTGTCACAGGACCCCCAAACCCCCACATGAGCTAGGGCCTGCTGCCCCACAGCAGCCTCTTCCCCCTGGTAAACCCCTTAATCCAGTCCCCCCCAGAGCCCTTCAGCACCATTTGTCCCTCCCCGCCCCCCTACAGACATCCACTTCCAGAGCCGGAATAAAATAACCCCTTGGAAATGTCAGCACCAGTGTTAGAGAGAAAAAGAAAGTCAAAAGTGCTTGGAGCTGCCCAGCCCCACAGCTTTGGGGGCGCAGAGCCCCACCAGCTGCCCGAGCAGGAGCAGGGTCCCATGCCAGGGGTCCCAGAGGGGTCTCAGCTGGCTCAGGAGCAGCGTGGCCATGCTGGTCCAGAGCAAAGCCAGCCCATCCTGCCATCCCCCGCAGAGCCACCCCAGCATCACAGAGCCCCCCCAGATCAGGGCAGGGGCGTGGGGCCCTGGCAAGGCAGCAGGGCTCAGTCCTTAAACCTGCGGCCTGCCTGCATCTTCTTGTAGTACAGGTCCACCTCGCTGTCCGCCGGCCCGTCCCGCTCGGCCGGCTTCCTCCGCAGCGTGGAGTCGCGGCTGGCTGTGGCCAGCAGCCCCTCGGGGGGGGCCTCCCCCCGCTCCCCACCACCCCCTGCTGCCCCCGGGATGGCGGCCAGGCTGCCATAGCGCGGCTCGTCCTGCTCCATGTCGCTGACAGAGGAGCCAGGGGAGACGCCGGCGCTCTTGGCTGGGCGGAAGCCGTGGAAATCCTTCCCCACCTCACCCAGCTCGTAGGCGTCAGGCCCCTCTGGCCCCTTCGGCCCCGACTTCCACTCCCAGGGCCCATTGCCAGCAGAGAGGTGGACCACGGGGTGGTGAGGGGCGTGGGCGTCGATGGTGATGATGCTGGAGCTGTCCCGCTCCGAGGGCGAGCGGTACTGCGAGGAGTCGGAGCTGGTGGAGGACGAGGACGTCTCCGAGTGCTTGGGCGTGACAGAGACGAGGCTCTGCTGCTTGGACATGGCGATGACCTGCATCAGGCGCGGGGGGTTGGCCACCCTCTGCGCTCCCCCCTTCTCCGCCACCATCACCCACTTGGCCCGCACGGCCGCCCCGCTGCCGGCCGCGGCCCCGGCGCCTGCCTGGCTCTCCTCGGGGATGTGCACCAGCTGCGAGGCGCCCGGCCGGGGCTGGATGAGCACGCGGGGCCCCATGGCCGCCCGCTCGGCCGAGCGCGCCTGCACCGTGGGGTACAGCGAGGGGGGCACCTCCTCGCCCGGCTCGCCCACGGCCCGGCCCTGCGCCGCCTCCTCCGCCAGCGTCATGCTCCGACCCTCCAGCGACTTCTGCTTCCACTCCGTGATGAGCTGCTTCGAGCGGGAGGCGTCCACGGGGACGTGGATGGTCATGTGGCGCCGCGCGGGGTCGTCCATGGAAGGGGTGTTGACGCGGGGCAGGGTGTTGCTGAAGGTCACCATGTTCTCCTTGCCCATGGGGCTGCGCGGGGCCAGCAGGTCCACGTCCACGCTGGCCCGCTTCAGGCTGCCCAGCGAGTTCTTCTCGCGCGGCACCGGCCGTGCCGCCTCCTCCAGCCGCGCCTGCGGGTTCAGCTCGTCCGTGCTCACCGACTTGTTCTGGTGGTAGACGGAGTCGTGGCCCCGCTGCGTCAGCGCCCGCAGCGCGTCCTTGGCCGGTGCCTGCGCCGGGACACGCTCCGTTGGGGCACGGAAGTTGCCAACAGCATGGAAAGCCTGTGGGAAGGGGAAGCACAGAATCCTGGAACGGTTTGTGTTGGAAAGGACTTTTAAAGGTCATCTAGTCCAATGTCCCTGCCAGAGGCAGGGACAGCTTCCACTAGGTCAGGTTGCTCCAAGCCCTGTCCAGCCTGGCCTGGAACACTCCCAGGGATGGGGTGGCCACAGCTGCTCTGGAGAGTATGGAGCCAAGTGGCCCCACCAGCATCCCCCAGCCCCTCCCTGGGCCGCGGGCAGCACCAGCACCCACCAGGTAGGCGGCAATGCCAGAGCCGATCAGGAAACCCACGTAGACGTCGGCGGGGTGGCTGCGGTACTGGGTGATCTGGGTCAGGCCACAGATGCCAGCAGCAATGGCGAAGGCGAAGACCAGGATGGGCTTGAGGAGCTTGGTGCTGTCCGAGATGATGGAGTTGAAATACATCTGGGGCAGGAACAGGCTGTTAGTCACGGCTCTGGACACACACAGAGCTCTTGGGTGCGTGTGGGACTGCAGGTGCCTGCACACACCCAGGACCAGCACAGGAATATTGGGCAGAGCTTGTCTGTGCCAGCAGGAGAGGGATACAGCTGCCATGGCATGGGACTTGTGCCAAGCCAGCGTGTGCCAGGCAGCGCTGGGAACTCACCGACACATAAACAGCAGCGAAAGCCGAGAGCGTGGCGTGCTGGGATGGGAAGGTCTTCCTGCAGGGAGAAGGGACGTGGTTGGGATGGGGCAGGAGGGCTGGCACTGTGGCACAGGGCTCCCCTGGCACGTACCTGGCGGAGAGGATGGCGTGCTTGTCGGTGCCTGAGCAGATGTCCTGGGTGATGTAGGGGTTGGCGTCGCAGGGCGTGCCCAGCAGTGTGTAGTTGGGCTTGCACACGGTCAGGAAGAAGGGAGCGTGGTAGCCCGTGGCCAGCTGGATGATGTCTGTCACCAGGGCTGTGGCACAGAGCCCAAACACGTGGACACCTGGGGATGGCAGGGATGGGGCAGTGGGTCACCCCCATCCCACCAGGACTCACCCAGCCCTGGGCATCCACTGGGGTGGGTCTGGTGCAGTGCCCAGGGTCTGGGTGGGGCCGTTCTCCTGCTGTCACAGCCAGGGTGACCCCACGTCCCCTCCAGCCCCCAGGTCCTGCCCAGGCTGTGGCACAACGTACCCACAAACCTGACGGTGCGGCGCAGGAAGGAGTTGAAGTTGCAGCCACCAGCGTTGATGCTGCCCTCGGCACCGGCGCGGCCCTTCAGCCGGGACTGCAGGCAGTACACCATGCCCTCCCCAACCATGATCTGGGGAGGAACCGCTGGCTCAGGTGGGACTGGGGGGGGCTGGGTTCTGGGCAGAGCCTCCCGATGGATGCTGGGCACTGCCAGGCACCCAGACCTCAATCCCCAGCTCCATCCCAACCCCACAGCAGGATGAGCCCGGACGCACCGAGGCAGCAGGCGCAGCGAAGGCCAGGCTGAGCAGCATCAGCAGAGGGATGAGCTCCTCGTTGGTCTCCACGTAGGGCATGGAGAGTGCCCGGTCATGGCACTGGAAGCCAACCTTGGCCGGCTTGAAGAGGTCCGTCAGCTCCAGGAAATAGAGCGTCACAACGGAGGAGGCCACGATGGGCAGCTGTGGGGACAGAGCGGGGACCAAACACCCCGGAGCAATGGCACGGCACAGAACGGGGCACAGAGCCCGACCCGCTGTGCCAGGGCCCGGGACAGAGCCCCCTGCATGGCCCCCACGCCGTGCCCACCCACCCCACACCCACCTCCACGAAGTAGAAGCAGGGCAGGAGCGTCATGCTGTCCTTGGGGGCGCGGGCTTTCTCCTTGGGGGGGATCATGGTCCTGGGCAGGAGTGGGGGTCCCACCGGGCTGTGCCTGCACCCTGTGGGGGCACCAGGGTCACCACACGGCAGGGGGTGGGCAGCCAGCTCACCCCTGGTCACCCCTCGAAGTCCCTGATTCTGGAGGGGGACGAGCACCCCCGAGCCACCCCCTGACCCTGCAGGGACACCCCCGTGTCACCCCCAGGTCACAGCACTGCCCCCGCTCACCAGGGAGACACAGCTGGAACCGGGGGTGCCGGCGCCCCGGGGTGTCCCCCAGTGCCCCGGGGGTGCCCAGCCGAGCCAGGGGCTGTGACAACAGGTGGGGCGGAGGCTCGTCTGTCGCGACAGGCGCTCCCCACCGCGACAGGCGGCGAGGCTGCTGCGGAGGGCGCGCAGAGGGGGGTGTGCCGGGGATGGGGCTCCCCGAACCCCGCCGGCCCAGCCCCACGAGACTGCACCGAAATGAGGGGGGAGGATAACGGGGATGGAGCGGGGAGGGGGGGAAATAACGGGGAATTAACCGGGGGTCTAACCGGGAGGGCGGGGGCGCAGCGGGGAACCTCCCCTTGGCAGGGACCGTGCCGCAGCCGCGGGCGGGGGTCGGGGCCGAGGGAGGGGAGGGGGTGTCGGGGGAGGAGGAGCGGCCCTTTGTGCCCGTCCGTGCGCCCCACTCACCTCAGCGGCGGCCCCGGGGCGGGGGGCGGCGGCAGCGGCGGCGAGGGGGGGATGTCCCCGGGATCCGGGATGCTCCTGCCTCGGCGGAGCGCGGGGAGCGGCGGCTTCCTCCGCCCCCGCCGCCTCCTCCTCCTCCTCCTCCTCCTCCTCCTTCTCCTCCTCCCTCGCCCGCCGCCCCCCGCTCCGCCCCGCAGCCCCCCGGCCCCTCCCGGGCCGCCGAGCCCCCGCCGAGCCCCTGTCGGTCCAGGGATGGGGTCTGGGGGCGTCGGGAGGGGGTCGGGAGGTCGGGAGGGAGAACGAGGCGAGACAAAGAGCCGGGCGGGGCCGGGGACAGCGGCGGGACCGAGCTCTCCCCGCACCGCTCCGCAGCCCGGACCGTGCCCGGGCACCGGGGGGGTCCCGGGGCCGCCCCCAGCCCGGGCTGCCTCCACAGCCAAGCCCCCGATCGCCCCTTGTCCCCCTGTGCTGCGGAGGGTGCCCCCTGCCCCAAGCCCCTCCTGGCCGGCAGAGCCCCCTCCCCTGCCTCGGCTGGTGGGGACCCGAGGGGTGGCCAAGCGGGGGGGGGGCACACCACGGGGGTGCGCGACCCCAAAATTCACCGCCCCAGCGCTCTACCAGCCCCCCCTGGGCTCTGTGAGCCGGGGAGCGCCTGCCCTGCCCGTGGCACCCCAGGGCTCCTCAGGGGGTGACTCGGGGCAGTCCTGGACCCTCGCTCACCAGTGCCCCCGGGGACACCCCCAGCACGAGCCTTGTGCCAAGGACTCCTCAAGCAGGATCCTTCTCTCCCAGATTTGGGCCTGGGGAGGTGGGTGCAGCTCCCTTTGCTTTCTGGAGGCTCCCAGCCCCTCCTGGCAGAGCCCCCAGCCCCACCTGCCCCTGTCCTGACCCTGCAGAGGATCCCGGCTGTGCCCTACCCCACATCCCACCCTGCACCCCATTCCCTGCACCCCACACTCCCCTGTTCCTCCCAACCACCCTCCCACGGTCCTGTCCCGGGTCTGAGCAGCCCGGGCTCCCCACGGTGCCCTTGTTCCATTTTTGGCCCTAAGCGGGCAGAAATCTCCCGGCGCATTTAACGCGGAAATCCCGAATCCCTGCAAGCTGCCATTAAGCTGCTCTCCCTGCGGAAAATCCCGGCTTTGAGCCGGGCTCAGCCCCTTCCCAGGACGCCACCACACTGCCCCGACCCTGCCCAGCTGTGCCACCAGCACGTGGGGACAGCGGGGAGGCGAAGCCACCACGGCAGAGGGACACCCGAGCCCCGGGGACCCCCAGAGCCCGGCCGGTGTGTCCGGCCACCCGCTGACCACTGGCCTGGGGGGTCGAGGAGATGGGGGGTCTGGGCAGCCGGACAAAGGGAACGCGGCAGCCCGGGGCTGGAAAAGCTCCTGGAGCAGGGAAAGGAGCAGAGGGTGGGCGCCAGCCCCTCGCGGGGTGTCCCTGGAGCCCCGCTCGGTGCCAGCCGTGGGTAGCCACGGTGGCCATCGCGGCAAGGGGGGAAGCAGCGAGGTCTCGATGGTCGGGGAGAGGCTCCGGGGATGGGGACGAGCCCGGGATGGGGCTCCGAGCTCGGGGAGGCGCCGGCACCGGGCGGGAGCCGGGGCGGTGGCTCCGCTTAGTGGCACCGGGGAGAAAGGCAGAGGAGACCGGGCTGCCGCGGCCACCGGCATCCCGGACACCGCCCCCGCGGCTGCCATCCCCCCCAGCCCTGCGGGACCCCCTCGGGGCAGGGGTGACGGCTTTGTGTCCCTGGGCACCCACCCAGCACCCTCCGGGGACCGGCCCCCCATGCCGGGAGGGGGCCCCGCTCCTGGGAGGGCGGGGATAGAATTTGCCGGAGCTCTCTTTTGCCAAAAAGCCTGAACTTGTTCGGCATTATAAACCCCGGTGCAGAAATCCCCGGCGGCTGGTGCCAGGGCCGGCAGCTGGGCCGGGCTGTTTCCTCCTCCCGCGCTGTTTGTGCCGGGAACTCTTGACCCCTTTTATAAGCTGAATATTTCAAAACATTCAGCCCACGCTGCGGAAACCCCCCCCGCTCCCTCCGCCCCCCCTTTCCTGCCCCGAACTGGACATAAAAGCGAGTCCCAGCCCCAGCCCCTGGTGAGCAGCGTCCCGCAGCCCCCGAGCACCCCAAAACCCCAAAGCCCCCGCAGACCCCCAGCCGGGCAGAGGCATCGCCGGGCTCTGCAGCCATGGGGCCGAGCCCTGCTCCCGTCCTTGTCCTGGCTCTGCTGCTGCTCCTCTGGGCCCCGGTGAATGGTGAGTGCTCCCCCTGCACCCCAGGGTGCTGACACAGAACGGGGGGTGCCTGCCCAGCTCCCCAGCTCTGCCTCCACCTGCGGCCAGGTGCTGGTGCCGCCAAGGATGGGTCCTGGAAGGGACATGGGGAGTGACACTTCCCTGTGCCCCTCATCCCAGCCTCTCTCCTGCAGGGCAGCCCCGGGGCCGCATCCTGAGGGGCTCTGAGGCCAGGCCCCACCTGAAGCCCTACATGGCCTCGCTGCAGCTGGACGGGCAGCACGTCTGCGGGGGCTTCCTCATCGCCGAGCAGTGGGTGCTGAGCGCTGCCCACTGCACCGAGGACACGTGAGTGGGGCTCGGGGGCTGCTGGGCTCGGGCCAAATCCCACTGCAGAGCCTGGACCCCAGTGCCAGAGCGTGGCACTCAGCCCCCACCTGCAGAGAGGGCTGGGCAGCGGCTGTAGGGCATCCCAGAGCTCCCTGCTGGGCTCTGCAACCCCCCCACAGCACCCCATTTCCGTGGCTGGGTGCAGTGACACCCCGAGGTGTTTGTCCCACGCTCTGACTCTCTTCCAGGGATGGCAAACTCTTCCAGGTGCTGCTGGGTGCCCACTCGCTGACGCAGCCGGAGCCCCACAAACGCCTGTACCAAGTGCGCGCCCAGTTCCCCCACCCTGGCAGCAACATCCACAACAACAAGGATGACCTGCTCCTCCTGCAGGTGGGCTGCTGGCTGGTGGGGACCCTCCTCCCCATTCCTGCAAATCCCACTGTCCCCTGGCACGCTGCAGGGTCACTGACTGCTGGAGGAAATCCTCACGCTCAGGCCGGTCCCATGGGACCATCCCTGCTTCCCCCAGCAAAGCTTTGAGCTGTGTCCAAGTGCCTCCATCCTCCTCACCGCTCCAGCTCTGCTGTCTGGCTGGGGGGCTCTGGGGTTCCACTCAGGAGGTGAAGCCCTGAGCGTGGCTGAGGCCGGGGTGGTCTCGGTGCCAGGGCTGGGCTCTGCTGGCACCCGGGCACGGCTGCCCCCGTGACCCGAGCGCCCCGTGGCTTTGCGGCAGCTGGAGGAGAAAGCGGAGCTGAACTCGGACGTGCGGGTGCTGCCCTTCCAGCGGGAGGACAGGGACGTGGCGGCCCACACGGTGTGCGAGGTGGCAGGGTGGGGCACCACGGACCACAGCGGCTCCCGGCCCGACAGGCTGCAGCAGGTGGAGCGGCCGGTGCTCAGCCGCGACGTCTGCAACGACCGCACGCGCCACGACGGCACCATCACCCGCAACATGATGTGCACCGACTCCCGCAGGAAGGACACCTGCAAGGTACCACACACCCGGAGCCACGGAGCCACGGAGGGGGCAAGGGGCACAATGCCCCAGCCCGGGAGAGGCGAGGGGAGCGGAGCAGGAGGGGACGGCGTCCCCAGGGTGGGTGCCCCTTGTGCTGGCGGCGTCCCAGCAAAGCCTTGGCCGTGCTGATGAGGTCTGGTCCTGCAGGGAGACTCCGGTGGACCCCTGGTGTGTGGCGGGGTGGCCGAGGGGGTGGTCTCGGCCGGCTCCCGCGTCTGTGGCAACTACAAGAAACCGGCCATCTACACCCGCATCGCCCCCTACGCGGCCTGGATCGACAGCGTCATGGCCTCTGCTGCCGACGGGGAGGGGGACGCTCGCTGAGGGCACCCCGGGGACCTGCTCCTTGCCACGGCTTGCTGCTGCCAGCACGGCCAGAGCGCCCACGGTGCCGCCCCACGGCGCGCCACGGGCTGCCACCGCTGCCCACCCCGCTGCCAAGGTGTCCCCACAAGCCAGGAGGAGGGCTGGGCCGGGGGACTGGTGAGGAACCAAGGAAGGGGGTCCCTGGCCCCCCACTCACAAGGCACAGGGCCCAGGTGGGGGAGAACTGGGGGTCACAGCCCTCAACAGGCTTTGCTGAAGGTGCCCAGAACGCTGCCCGCGATTGCTGCAATAAAGTGATGATGATTCCTGCAGAGCTGCTGGGCTGGGGGACTGGGGAGGAGGGAGCTGGGGGGGTCTGTGCAGGAGCCCCTGCTCAGGGGGGAGCTGGACGTGGGGTGGGACATGCTGAGGTTGCGCCCTTGGGGACGGCGTGGCCTCGGGTGGGAGCAGGGGACACATCCTGCAGCGTGGCCACAACAGATCTGGGACCTCACGCAGGGTCACAGTGTGAACATGTGGGAAAGCAGAACCTGCCTGTGGCTGATATGGCAGTGGCAGCTCTGGCTCCCACGGTGGGATCCGTGCTGGAACCCCGCAGGATTCTCACTGGGACCCTCTTGTCCCAGGAGCTGAGGGGCAGGGCAGGGCAGAGCCATCTTCCCACCACAACCTGGTCACCCCCAGAGCCCTGCTCTCCTCTGTCTTTGGAGGGAGCAGGGCCAAGGCACAAGAGCTGGGAGCAGCAGGGCCCCAGGGGACTGCCAGACCCTCCCAGTCCCATCCCACGAGCTCCATGGTCAGCAGGGAGCTCAGGGGGACACGAATGTGTCTCCATCCCCCTGCTCTGCTGCTGTTCCCTGTTCCCAGCCAAACATTAAATAACCCCAAACCTGTTCCATGAGGAGCTCACAGAGGGCCTGGTTTGAATTTTACTTACAGGGGAAAAGAGTCTTAATAAGGTGGTTTCCTAATTAGCCGTTTGATTGTCCCTAATTACCAGCAGAGCAGAGAGGGGGAGAGGTCTGTACAGCTCTTACAGCTCTGTGCAGTGAAACATTTGCTGGAGTCGAGGGATGAACTCTGTCACCAGCTCCAGTTCTCAAGAATAATGAAATCATGGCTCCAGAGGGAAAGGAATGTACTAAGACTGGCTCACTCCCCCTCTTGAACTGTCTGTGGGGACCTGGAATTGCTGGCTGGGATGCAGCAGCAGAAGGCTCCAGGTTTATCCCCCATAGAGCTGCAGGACCCATGGGAGAGGAGCAGGCCCAGGGCTGGGGCTCCCCAGGCACAGCCACGCTGGCTCCAGCAGGTTCTGATTTCCTGCTCAGGGCAGCAGCAGCAGCTGAGGGCAAGGGAGGGCAAAAATCTGAAAGGATTTTGGCTGCACCAGGATGTTCTCTTCTGGTATGCTCAAGTGTCCTGCCCTGCTGAAGCTGGAGGCTTGCACAACCCCAAGGATCTGATGTTTTTTCCTCGAGTGTCCATAAGGTGAACCTTGAAAACATGCATTTCCCCTTTTTCCAGTGATGGTGGTTCCTTTCCTGACAGATGCTCTGGCAGCCCTCCCGTGGCTCCACTGCCCCAGCCCCACACTGGGCAGCCACGTCACACCACAGAAACAAACCACATGCTCCTGTACAAAATCTGGAGAATTTTTATTTACAACAGCAAGAGGCAGAGGCAGGGTTCACTCCAGGCAGCAGCACTCATTCCTGCTCCCATCCAACACTGATGGGCACACAGGAGCCAACTCCTGTCGCAGGGACAAGTCTGCTGAGGGATCAGGAGTGCCCAGCCCACGTGGCACTTCCCAAGCAGCCAGAGGCACAGGATGGGTGTGAGGTACCAGCTGTGCCCCCCTCAGCTGGGACTCTGTTCTCACCAGCTGCCCCATCACCACTCTGCCCAGGCCAGGGCAGCTGCCAGGACGTTGCTGCTCTGCTGGCACAGACAAAAACACAGCCAGGCTCTCCCTCCTGGGCCCCAAATGAGGGGGGAACCTCTGGCATTCCTCTCCAGATCTAAGAGGCAGAGTCCCCTCAGCTGTTTTCCAGCACAGCTCAACCAACGACGAGCAGCAGCTTTTGCAGCATGAGGGAGAGGAGCTGCCATGCCCTTGTCCCAAATCCTCTGTGAAGGGAGCCCTGTGCAGCTCTTGGCCCTCACTGCACCCCGGGAAGGGCTCAGGAGTAGCTGAGGGGCATCTTCCTCCAGAGCCCCCCACACAGGCAGTTCTTGATCCAGCGCTGCTCCCACTGCTTCACTGCTGTCACCTTGTTGGGTGACTTCAGCATGGTGACACAGCCACACCTGGGGGGACAGGGACAGTGCAGAGCCAGCACTGCTGGGGAGCTGCATGGATCACACAGGGATCCATGGGGGAAACAGCTCCTGTCATCTGCAGGTGACACTTGTGAGCACCAAAACCAGCTGAAACCAGCGAGCAACAATCCCACTGAGGGCTCTGCTGGAGCTGGAGCCTGGCAAGGAACAGCCCCAGCTGCTGTTTATACATGAAACAACTGACAGTCATCTCACAAAAATGATTGCTACAGAGGCTTTCTATTAAAATCAGTAATTAAAGCTAATTCAATCACATGACTTAGATGGATGCTTGTTCCCTGAGCCATTATCCTGAAATCCAGGCTCTCCCATGAGGGTGGATGAGTAGGGCAGCACGAAATGCAAGCCTGGTGGAAAGATGACCCCAAAATGGGAGCAGGGGCAGTGGGGTGACTCCTCCCTCCAGCCCTGCCATGACCACACAGGTGCTTTGATGACCAAACCACAGAACTGGGCATCACACAAAGGAGTTGCTGTAGGCTCTCCTCCAGGCCAGGTTACTTTAGGAGTTTTATCTGATCTGTTTGATTTTTAACCCAAGGGCCAGGCTACAACAATGCCACTCTCCTGACAATGACATGGGCATCCCATGTCATTGGGGACACCTTAAGCACAGCCCCAACCAGTCTCAGAGAGCTCTGAAGGACAAGGACAGCCCAAGTCCTGCCCAAGCTCCACTGCAAGGGTCACTTACCTGGTACAGGACTTGCATTCCTCTGTGGGGTATGCACCCAGGTGCAGCCGCCTCAGGTGGTCAATTTTGGGCTGTCCAGGGGCCCTGGGGAGGGAGAACAGGACTTTGCTGGAGTGTCACTTTCCATGAGCTGTTCCCAGGACAGGGAGCTGCATCTCACTGGCCAACATGGCAGAGCTTCTGCCCACTTGCCCACCCAGTGCCATGAGATTTGTTTTCACAATGTCACAATTAATCACATTAATTAATGGGGTTTTTCCCCCACCATTTGCTATCACTTTTCAGTACTTAAAATTCCCAGCCCATCACAAACTGAGAAAGGAATTTGAGCAGAGAGGACAAACTGCTCTTGGGTCAGAGCACCAAGGAGACAAGCCAAACCTCAGAGCTGCCAAGACTCCTTCTCTCCATGCACTGACTCAAACAGATCACAGACCAGGCACTGGTATATTTCCCATATATTTCCAGTACATTTCCCTCATAGTTCCCTATTTTTTTTCCCTATTTTGTAATTCCAGGGGTTTGTACCTGACAAACAGCCTGTTTGTATAGTTCCAGGGGTTTGTACCTGACAAAGGCATCGAACTGGGAAGAGACAGTGTGGCCAACGAGCCCAGGAGCCTTCCCAAACTGCAGCCGGACCAGCTGCTTGTTCTGCAGCTTGCTGATGATGCCATCGTTGATGGGCAGCCAGTCAATGTTGGGAATGAGCAGCTGGCTGGGCAGGAGGCAGCACTCATCAATCAGGGCATCATCGGGCTCTGTGATGTGATTTTCCTCACGACCTGCGTGGGAAATGAAGGAAAAAACCCCTGTGACCTTTACAATTCTCCCTCAGAGCTCCAGAGAGCTGCGTGCAGCCTCCTCCTCCACTGCCAACTCAGCCTGGAAAACAATAACCTTGGCAAGCTGCACTTGCCCTTTCTCAACGTGCCAGACCCCCTCGGAGTCACGTCCCACCCCACTGCTGCAGGAATTACAGTCCAGGGAACCGGCCACACTCACAGCACAGCCAGAGCTTGGTCAGGAGGCGGAAGAGCAGGGACATGCTGTCCTGGGTGTCCGAGGTAGCCGTGTACACGGGCAGGCAGCTGGGCTTCAGCAGCCCCCAGATGCGGATGACCACCATCAGCTCGCGGAACATGCCCAGGGACGCGCCGTCGCGCAGGAAGCTGTGCCCAGGGCGCACCGGGGAGCCCTGCGGGGGACAGAGGCATGGCTGGGGGTGGCACCAGCCTGCCTGGGCTCACAGCACCCTGGGTGGGGCTCACACCAGCCTGGGAGGGGCTCACAGCAGCCCCAGCCACCGCGCTGCGTGCAGACAGCTCCTGCTTCCAGCAGCACACACCCCATGGAATGCACTGCTGGGGATGGTGACACCTCTGCAGAGCTGCAAGAGGAGGGTTCCCAAATCCCCCAGGTACTGTGATGGTCACCAGACCCAGATGGGCATAGGAAGGGCCATTCTCTAATTCTGCTGTTCCTTACTGCTCCCCAGTGCCTGTGCTGACAGGGACATGTGGCCCTGTGTGCTCAGCAAAGGGAAACTGGCTTCAGGACTGGCCTTGAAATTGTCCCACAAAGCTACAACACAACACGGGGCACAACGAAGCTCAATCCCCAGCACTGCCCATAGGTGTTTGTGTCCTCTAAGCACGTTCCCAGCACTCCAGGTCTCACCTGGTTGGGAAGGCTGGCCAGCAGGTAGAGCACAAAATCCCCCACCCACTGGATGAGCTGCTGCAGGGACTGCAACGTCGTCATCTCCAGGACAAACTCTTCTGTCTTCAGGTTAATCATCACCTTGTCAATGTCTGGAAGAGAAGCAAGACATTGCCTGGCTCAGGAGGATGGATCCAAACCTCACACCCTCCCTGAGGAGGTCACCCTCGTCCTCCTCCTCAAACCAAATTACTGGGAGACTGTGACACCACGGGGAGCAGTCCAATAATCCCAAACTCTGGGAGGGCAGTGCAGGGTGCTGTGAGCAGTCAGTACCTACATCCGTGATCTTGGAGCAGATCTCGGTGAGCCGGTCCCCGGGGCTCTTGTCAGGGGTGTTGAGGAAGTGTGGGCGCAGCAGCGACTTCAGGGTGCAGCTGATGGCAATGAGGAAGAGCTTGGCGTGGTAGTCACACACACGGGCAATGGTGCTGGAGGAGAGCTTGCACAGGGATGCCTTCATGGCAACAATGCGTGTGGAGAGCACCTGAGCCACGGGGAAACGCAGCAAAAGGCACAAAAAAAGGCAGGAATTAGCATAAGCTCATTAGAGCTGCTGCTGCTGCTGTATTCTCTGCTCTCCCTTTCTGCTGCAGGAGTGACAGGAGCAGTGAATGCCATGCACGTGAGCGCTGTGCTGGGCACGTGCTGCTGCTCCCAGAATCTGCCAAAAATAGATTTCACCACCTCACCCCAAGTTTCCAGCAGCTATGACCCTGCTAATATCAGGGAAAGTGAACGCTGCTGACATGGAAGCTCTTCCCAGCTCCATCACTGCCCGAGCAGGGCACTCACAGAGCACAGCCAGGCAGAGCCACCCATGTCCTGAGGACTGGCACTGGCTGTTCCTCACTCCAAGTCCCTGAACCCCCCCATGCCCACCCTGGGAGCGAGCCCAGAGCTGGCACCCACCTGCTGCAGGGCTGCATTCTGACGCATGTACTCCTCGTGCAGCTTCTCCACCAGGTTCTGCACCATGCTGGGCTGGACGTGCAGCAGGATGTCCCACCAGTCGTAGCCAGTCACCATGCAGTACTCCAGCAGGAACAGCAAGTGCCTCAGGGACATGTTCATGTCCAGCACGTGGCCCATGGAGGGGGAGATGCGGAGCATGCTCAGCTTGAAGGGAGGAACCAAAGGGAAACTTCAGGAGAGGGCTTGAAATTGTCCCACAAAGCTACAACACAACATGGGGCCCAATGAAGCTGAATCCTGACCTAGAGACAGTTTCTGCACTGATGGGATACATCCCTTTCCAATATGGATCCCACAGCTGGAATTCCCAGTGTAACCCATCACCCCTGAGAGAGCCTGGCTGAGAAACAACCCCACCATATGATACAGGGTCTCCTCGAGCCAGCTCTTATAAGCTCTTGGAGATTTATACCACACCCAAGATAGCTCAGCCACAAAATCAGCATGATGGCTTCTGTGGCAGTGCTGGAAACAGAAAAGTTTTCATAAAAGGCAAAATTACAAAGCTCTTTACAAGGAAAAACAGAGCCAGGGCAAGAGTCTCTTGCACCTGGTAAAACACCTCACAAAAGCCATTAGTTTCTTTGTTCTCTTATTTTTCTAGTAAATTGCTTAGGCTGGACTTCTGTCCAATTTGCTATCCTTAAGTCTGAAGTGAAGTTCCCAAGGTCCTGTGAGGAGAGAAACTTCTGGGCCTTTTTCCTTTTTTAGGAGACAAAGAATAACTTTGTCAGGGGGCACATCCCTACATCCAACAGAGAGCACCAACCTTCCCGTGACTGTCCACACCAGCCAGGGCCAGTGATGTCCAGGAGAGCTGCATGGCCTTGAAGTGCACCAGGGGCCCAGTGGTGCGTGGGCGCTTGAGGGCCGGCTCGTCCACGGGGCGCTGCGAGGAGGAGCCGTAGAACACGGCCATCATCTGCAGGGACAGCCGGTGCACGATGTGGACACTGCCATCATGGAAAGCCAAGGCCAGGCCTGGGGACAGGACACAAGGGAGGCTGGGAAACAGCTCCTCCCAGCGTGGCCACCACTGAAGCCCATGGAGAAGCCAAAGGGCTGGGGGCTCACAGCATTTCACAGCCTCTTCCCACAGCGGTGGAAGTTTTCCCTCAGCATTCCACATGTTTTACTTCAGCTGCAGCTCAGGTGGTGAAATTCCAAGCGAAAGTCACATGTTTAGGATGAAGACAACTCCTTACCCAGTCCAGGGAAGAACTTGGTGTCGTTTGCCACCTTCAGGTCGGTGTTGGTCAGGGAGATTGGCAGCTTGGGCAGCGCCACGGCCGACACCCGGTCCAGGTCGTTGGTGGCAGACAGGATCCGCCACTTCAGGATCATGGGCTGCTTGTCTCCCACTGGGGAAAACAGGCAAATGAGTGAGAATTTTGTCCCACAGAGATCAGAAAATCTGCCCCTCATTTCTGCCCAGGCACTGGTGTTTTTCCCATGTATTTCCAGTACGTTTCCCTCATAGTTCCCTGTTTTTTTCCTGAGTTATACAAACAACGTGTTTTGCTAAATCTCTCTTGATGGGAAGCTCTGCTGCGGGTGACTAAGATCCTTATACACAATAATCCTTTAGATTTCACCAAACAAACTGCCCTGATTAATTCTGTTTTATCTGAGTTCAGGTGAAGCCCAGGCAGCCAGAGCAGGGGATTAATCAGGCTCTGCTGCTCAGTCCTGGTCCTTTGGGAGCTTTTGCTCCACTGGTGGCAGGAAGGGCGGCTGTGCAGCAAAACACAAAAAATTATTTAAAAATCTTTTATGAAGTGAAAGCAACAACCAAACCCCTTCCTGGAAACAGCAAGTTGCTGCCTACAGTGCAAATGGACAAAATGGACTGAGAACACCTGAAAATAAACATGAGTAATCCCATATATGGGATAATGGATGTGAGAAACTGTGATGCTTTTTCCCTCAGACCAAGCTCCTGTTCTTGAGAGTGCCCAGAGCAGACACCTACCCACAGGAGAGATTTGCTGGAAGATGTTGTTGACAGGCAGGCCCTCCTTCCTCAGGGACCAGCACTCCACGATGCTGTTGTTTTGGTTGGAAGCACAAAGCAGCACCTGTGGAACAGAACCCCCCCACCACAAGCATCACAACAGGGAGGACACTGCCCTGGTCATTCCCACCCTCCATTTCCAGGGTCCTGCCCTGGTCATTCCCCCGCTCCATTTCCAGGGTCCTGCCCTGGTCATTCCCCCGCTCCATTTCCAGGGTCCTGCCCTGGTCATTCCCCCCCTCCATTTCCAGGGTCCTGCCCTGGTCATTCCCACCCTCCATTTCCAGGGTCCTGCCCTGGTCATTCCCCCCCTCCATTTCCAGGGTCCTGCCCTGGTCATTCCCACCCTCCATTTCCAGGGTCCTGCCCTGGTCATTCCCCCACTCCATTTCCAGGGTCCTGCTCCAAAAGCAGAGGATCAAACCAGCGCGAGGTGAACTCCCTAATCCCAGCTGCACCAGAAGAGCTGCTAGCAATGCCAAGGTACTGCAGGACATGCTGGCCACCTCCAGCCCTCTGAGGAAAGCCAGGTGGAGCAAAGAGCAGCTGCCCACCTGCTCTGACATGTCCCGAGCCAGGAACTTGAGGTGGGTGATGGCCGGGTACTTGTCCTTGCGCGCGGGGTCGGTGGTGCAGCGCATGAAGAGCGACGGCAGGATCTCGGTGTCGATCTTGCACTTCTCGTTCACCACGCTGACACACACCTTGTAGAACTGCACGGGGGACGTGCTGCTGCCATCGGAGGTGGCCACCACGATGTTGCCCCCGCCCGTGAAGGCGACGTCGGCCAAGGCCACGCGGCAGCGCAGGCGGCACAGGCTCTCGGTGGCCGTCAGCACCTGCCCGTTGGGCTTCAGCAGGGACACGGTGACCAGCCCGCTGATGGTCACAGCAATCCAGCCCTCCATGGGCTTCCCGCCAAACAGAGTCAGCGACGGCGAGAACTTCACCCGGGAGAACTTCTCGCCAAAGTTGGAGGCTCCAGACTGTAAGAGAGGTGAGCAAGAGTGAAGTGCTGGCGGCCAAAATTTGTGCCCGTGGAGCTCTTCTGGTGGGAGAGGGGCAGGACTGATGTGGGACGTCACAGGAGGTAAAAAAACACAAGAAGGGAAGTTGTGCTTGGCAGCTTTGGGCTTTCAGAGTCTGCAGGATCACAGAGGTTTCCAAACCAGGAGCTCATCTCTGTGCCCAAATCCCCTGATCAAACCTTGGCACCCTGAATGCATTTCCTCTGAATCATCACTGCTGAGGAAAGAACTGCTCTATCTCCATGTTCCTGCCTAGAACTGAGGTACCAGACTGAGGGACACACATCTGAAACACCAAAAGGCTCCAACCCCCCTGAGAAATCAGCAGCAACCAGGAATCTGACTTCTCTTTGACTGGAAAAACTCCCCAGGCCCACAAGAGAACACAGGCAGGATCCTGAGCTCTCTGCAACACCTGAGCCACAGCTCCAGCCCAGACCCCTCAGGAAGCTGAGACAAACCTTCTCCACGTGCAGAGCCAGCTTGACACCGTTGTGCAGCCAGGACAGGGCCACCACGGGGTCCCCCTCCACCACGCTGCCCACCGTGTTCTCCCAGCTGTTGGCCAGGTGATCTGTCATGCTCCAGCACTTGATGTGGCCATCAGCATCTGCCGAGAGCAGCCTGGAGCCTGTGACAGTGACACTGCATGAGGAAAGGGTAGGGGACACCCAAAACCCCCCGGGAATCACAGCCTTGGGCCTGTGACAGTGACACTGCATGAGGACAGGGTGGGGGACAGCCAAAACCCCCCAGGAATCACAGCCTGGGGCCTGTGACAGTGACACTGCATGAGGAAAGGGTAGGGGACACCCAAAACCCCCCGGGAATCACAGCCTTGGGCCTGTGACAGTGACACTGCATGAGGACAGGGGGGACAGCCAAAACCCCCCAGGAAATTACAGCCCTGTCACTCTGGGACAGGCACAGCAGGGGTGGGACACGGTGACAGGGACAGGGAGCCAGCCCACCTGACTGATCCCACTCCAGACACGTGATGACCTCAGCGTGGCCCGAGTTCACGGAGTAGACGTCCCAGGGGTGCTCGGTGTCGATGATGTGAACCATGTGGGTGAGATCTGTGTGAACACACCAGTGACTCCTGTCCCTTGGCACTGCTCCTGGGCCTCAGCTGAGGCAGGGAGGGCACCAAACATTGGATAGAAATGATTCGGGGCATCAAATATTTGATAGAAATTATTCGGGGCATCAAATATTGGCTAGAAATTATTTGGGGCATCAAATATTTGATGGAAGTGATTTGGGGCATCAAATATTGGATAGAAATTATTTGGGCATCAAGTATTGGACAGAAATTATTTTGGGCATCAAATATTGGATAGAAATGATTTGGGCATCAAATATTTGATAAAAATGATTTGGGGCATCAAATACTTGATAGAAGTGATTTGGGCATCAAATATTTGACAGAAATGATCTGGGGCAGTGCTGGGAGCTCAGTGAGGGGCAGACACGGTGTGAGCCTGCTCCTGGCTCAGGGAAACAACCACCCCCAGGGAGACACTGCAGGGCTGAGGCACGAAGGAAAAGGAGCGGCCGGGAGCTGCCGGGGCAGGGCAGGGCTCGTGCCCGGCGGATCCCGGCCGCTCCCGGGGCACCGGGAGCCGTTCCCGGGGCTCGCCGTACCTTTCTCCTCCTCGTTGCGGAGGTCGGTGGTGAAGGCGATGAGGTTGCGGCAGGACCAGGCGCACACCAGCGGGATGGAGGGACAGTGGTTGCTCTTGGGCTTCTTCTCCCACTCGCACACGTAGGCCAGGTCCATCCCGCCGGGACACCGGACACCGGACACCGGACACGGGACAGCCTCGGTCCTGCTGGGGCAACACAACGCCGGTCACACCGGGAACGGCGCGCACGCACCCCAGCCCCAGGAGCCACAGAGGGGCGCACGGGACACGGCTTGTGGGGGACAGCCCCGCACCGGGAGAGGCGGAGGGAGCGGCCCGCCGGTACCGACCCTACGGCGGGCGGGAGCGTCCTGGGCACGGACTGGGGGAGGTGCCGGGGGTTCTCGGGGCTGGCGGGAAGGCCTCGGAGGGGCTCGGGGCTGGCGGGAAGGCCTCGGAGGGGCCCGGCTGGCACCGGCGGTCCCGGGCCCGGCCCGGCCGCACGCACCGGCGCCGCCGCCGCTGCCAGGACCCGCGGCTGCCCGCGCCGCGCCTGCGCCGCGCGCTCAGGCACTGCCGCGGACACCCCAGAGAGAGCCGCGCCGTGGCTCATTAGCATAACAAACTACCCAGAACGCACCGCGCAGGGCTCGCGAGCACAGTCGGCGGATTTTGGACATTTTAGGGAAAAACTGGGCAAAATTGGGGACAAAAACATGGATAAACACTCGAGGCGACTAATTCTGCGTTCCATAGTGAACCACACCGCAGTCACCCTATTGTGAATATTTTGTGTTTGTAAGGCTTTAAATAGCGCCGCGGGCTCTGTGCAGTTCGTGCTCGCTTCGGCAGCACATATACTAAAATTGGAACGATACAGAGAAGATTAGCATGGCCCCTGCGCAAGGATGACACGCAAATTCGTGAAGCGTTCCATATTTTTCGCACCTCCCCGCACCCGCATTTTCCTCCCCCAGCCCACTTCCATACCCCGAGACCCCCCCTCAACCTCACCCCCACCGAGACACAGAGGCGGAGCAGGGGAGCACCGTTTTTATTGTTCCTGAACGTGCCCACAGCGGCGAAGGGGGCGCGAGGGGCTCCCCAGGGTCTGGGGGTGCCCACGGTTAATGGCACTCGGTGGCATCGCGGGACACAGCAACCCTTGGCACACGCCAGCGACACGGGGGGGGCACACACAGGGACCCCCGAAACGCCCCATTTTTGGGGGGGGGGGGGCAGCTGTGGAAAAGCAGAGCCCCAAAGCGGGCTGCACCCCTCCAGCACACACACACACACACACACACATGTAAATACCCACACACGTGATAAAAAACACAAGCTATATTACACTTAAAAACCAGCCCCGTGGTGCGGGCAGGGCGCAGGGGCGCGGGGGGTGAAAAAACCACCCGGAGCTCCCCACACGCCCCCGGCGGGCTCGGGGCTCTGCCTCAGCCTCAGTGGCTCGGGAGCTGCTTCACCGCGGAAAAATCCGGACCGACACGGCCCCGCCAGCGTCAGCGCCGCGGGGAGGCTGGCCCCGCCTGATTAGTCTTAAAAACACCTGGGTTATATAAATAGACACACACAGAGTTCCAGGAGGGTTGTGAGGGGAGCGGGGAGGGCGAGGGGCGCCTGCCGTGCTCCCCGCGCGCACCCCAGGGCACGGCCGCACACCCCGGCCTGGAGCGGGGGAAAAGGCCGAGGAAGGTCCGGGAGGGGCTGCAGAGGCTGCAGGAGGGGCAGGGCAGCCGCGGGGGCATCAGCTCATCTGCCCCAGGTAGTCTGAGAGCAGCAGCTCCGGGGGCAGGAACACGCGGTGTTTGTTGCTCACTTTCATCTGACGCTTCCCTTCGATGTCCGAACCTGCGGGTGGGATGGAGGGGTCAGCACAGCGCTGTTCCCCCCCGCGGGGGGGTCTCCAACGCGGCGTTCCCAGCCCTCCCCTCCTCCCTGGGGCTCGCGGGGAGTGCAGGCTCCCATTTTCTGTCCCCTCTGTCCCCACGGGCTCGCTCCCCCTCATTAGCGCTCAGGCCGATTGCCACAGGCAGCTCCTAATGAAACGCTGGGCAGCAGAGCTCCTCCGGAGGGATGGAGCCTGATTCCATCCCTGCCCTGGCAACAAAGCCTTTGGGGATGCCCAGGGCAGTACGAGAGCACGGCTGATCCTTGGGAGGAGGAAGCAGCTGCTGGAGAGGGAACCCCACGAGCAGATTCTTGCTTTGGACCACCCAAATTTCCCCTCAGAGCTGGGCCTGGCCGAGCCCTGGGTGTGTGGCTGCAGGCAGAGCTGGTGACCACTGCCAGGGAGCTCCAGGAATTGGTGGGGAAGCAGCAGTGGGGTGGGACTGTGGGGTTATCTGTGAGCCCCAGGGCGAGGTGGGGCCGGGGGAAGGAAAAGGCTGAGCTGGGGAGGACAGATAGTGATGGAGGGAAGGGGAAAAACAAAAACAAAATCAAAATCAAAACTAAAACCAAGCGGACACACGGCTCTTACTGGCAGAGACGAGATCCATGTACTGGCAGAGGGCGTGGAGCAGGAGCCGCTCAAAGCTGGGGGACAGGGGACAGGGTTAGAGCCTGAGCAATGTTTCCCACAGCCCGCCCTGCCCTCCGTCCTCCCGGGGACCCACAGAGCAGGCCAAGTGCTCAGGGATCCATCCCCACGTGCCTCCCTCCCCCAGGGGCTCCACGGGGACCAGGCCAGCTGGGGGTCCCCAGGTGGAGACCCAGGCCCGGCTGAGGGGAGGCCAAGGGGTGTCCTGTGCTCCCAAAGCCCCTCCACAGCCCGGGGCAGCCCTGGGGCACAGGGCCCTGAGATGGGGAAATACCTGTTATCCATCAGAGCCGTGTAGACAGAGTGGGGGGTGACAGAGAAGAAGGCCAGCAGCTCCTCCTCCAGCCCCTCCAGCGTGCCCTGTGAGGAGAGGCAGGGGCTCAGCGAGGCAGGGACAGTGGTGGGCACAGCCCTGGCACAACTGACTCCCCAGGGATTGCTGCCAGCAGCTCCTGGGCAAGTTAACTGGGTGGGAGCCAGCAGGGAGAGGAGACATGCCCCATCTCCAGCCCCCGAGGCAGGGAAGGATCCAGCTCCTGCCAACTCCGCGCTGTGTGTGCCAAGGGCTGGCACCATCCCTCGTGTTCACAGCAGCCAGGGGAGCCTCGTGCCTCCCAACAGCCAAAGCTCAGTGCTCTGCTGCTCTGCAGAGCTCTGTGACCCCAGAGACCAGCAGCACGCGTGTCTCGTTTGAGGACAAACAAGGCAGGGGGCAGGAGGAGCCCAGGCTGCATTGAGAGGCTCTAATTAGCACCAGGGAAAAACAAACAGAGCCCCACGGAGCAGAGGGAGCAGGGAGCCAGCACCCCCAGGGCTGGTAGAGCAAGTGTCTGGGCAGGCAGGGCAGGGCTGCACTCACCTCCCTCCTCCCTGCTCAGCAGTTGGTGCACTTTTACCCCTTTGAAAATACAATGAAATTTCCCCAAATAGCCTTGTCTGGGCTATTGTAAAGACCCCAAAAGCTCCACTGCTGTCCCCATGCACAAGCACACTCAGTTTCACCTGTCACCTGCTGTCACCGCACAGAGACTGGGAAACAACACTAAAAAAATCCCTGTAGCTGCCAGAAAAATCTCAGCTGAGCCAGGAAACCCCATCTGCTGCAAGCTGCATGTCTGTCTGGGCTCACACGAGCACCACACAGAGCACGTTCCCGGGAGCTCCCCCGAAATCTGGCACTGCCCTGCACAGCCTGGGCACGGCTCCGGGGACGTGGCCGTGGAGGGAGCCCTGCCAGCCCCTGCCCTGCCGTGGCAGCCCCCAGCTCACCATGGGGATCCGGCCCCGCTTCAGGGTGGCGCGCAGGCGGCGGCTGATGCGCTGGAAGCACTCCTGGGGGGTGTAGGCTGGCAGCTCTGGAGAAGGGAGAGGGGATTTGGGCACAGCTCACAACCCCAGAACCCACAGTGTCACCTTTCAGGAGGAGCCGGCGTTCCTCCCCGTCACAGTCACCCCTAAAAAGCAATGCCCGCCCCAGCACAGGAGGTTCAGGGGTGCAGGGGTTTGGGGTGTGACATTAGGGGATGCTGTGCCCCTCATCCCAGCCACTTCTGGCTCCCACAAACCCTCCCTGGTCCACGGTGGGGGTCCATAACCCCCCAGTGCCACACCCAGGGGTGGGCTCAGGCATCCCCTGGCCCCACCACTGACAGGGGGTGGGTGCAGCCCTCCCAGAATGTACACAAGGAAGGGAAGGGAGAGGCTGTCCCCACCCTGCGTCCCCTCCCAGCACCTTTCCACTTGTCTTCATTCTTGACAGGCAGCTTCCTCCTGTGCTTCTTCCTGGCCTCCTCCTCCAGGTAGAGCAGGACCCGCTCCTGCTCCTCTCCCGAGCGGTTCATGAAGTCGTTCCAGATCTGACAACAGAAGCCACCAAACCCCACTGCAGAGCTCCGTGGGGAGCAGCTGGCAGTGCACGGCCACCCAGGGCCCCTCCCCACAGCCCGCCAGCCCCCTGCTCACCCTCTTGTCCCCGAGTGCCACACCAGGAGAGGGCACGTTTCAAAACACCCGGTACAGGGCCAGCGTGAGGCAACAGGGCTTGGGCAAGGGGCTCGTGCCAGAGGAAGTGCTGCAGCTCACCAGGCTGCAGCCACCACTCTCCACAAAGAGGATCTGCCTGGAAATTCCCCCACCCCGTGGGCCACAGGACCCCATCACCCCCTTGGCACCCATGGCATCAGATCCCAGCCTGACACCAGACCAGGCAGAAGCTGCGGTGCAGCAGCTCAGGCCAGGGAGGCAGAGGGATGGAGGAGTGAACTACAAGCATGGCATGCCACGCCAGTGTCCCCAAGCCAGCCCCAAGCCAGTGGGGTGGCTGTGCCCACCTCCACGTAGGTCTCATTGTTGCAGGCCTCGGTGAAGATGCTGGGGGTGGCCGAGTGGCTGAGCTCTCCCTCGTCGCTCCCGCAGTCATCCTGCTCCAGAAGTGTCATCAGGTACCGAGCTGGGGCGAAAAGCAAATCCTGAGAGGGGGGGAAGCACCTCCAGAGAGGCCCCTTGCCCCCAGAACATCCCTGCCTGCCACACAGCTCAGGGCAGGCTGTCCTGGGGAAGAACCCTGCCTGGTCCTTACTGTTCTCCAGCCTCTGGAGGCTCTTGCGGCCCTTGGCGCGCGGGATGAGGTCGGAGTTGCGGATGGCTTTGTTGATGTAGTACTGCTTCCTCTTGGACGGCGAGAACCGCTTGGACGGGGAGTCCTCCAGCAGGGGCAGGCAGTCCTCGATCCTCCTGCGGGGCACGGCAGGAGGGGTGAGCCCGGCCGAGGGGCCTGGGGCAGCCACAGCGGCGCGAGGGTGGGGGGACACGGGGCACCAGAGCATCGGTGCTGCTGTTCCCGCAGGTGGCACCGCATCCCCCTCGGGTCACCGTCACCTCCCAGGGCTGGCTCTGCTCTAAGCAGCTGTGTGTCAGCACTGGGAGGGCCAGGTAATTAACCTGGGTAATTAACCTGGGCAATTAATCATGCCACACAGGAAGAAAAATGATGGATACATTCCTGCCGGGCCCCTGGTGCAGCTCATCCTGAGTGGGCTGGCACCAACCCTGGCACTCCTTGTGGAGGGCAGCAGGAACACCACCCCAAGCTCCTGGGGGCACCCAAGGGTGCTCTGTTCACAACACGGCCAGGGCGTTGCTTAGTCACAGGCACAGCTTAGGACTGACCATAAAACTGAGGCATTTATGGGAAAATGAAGCCACACCACGAGCGAGAAGCTGGCTGGGTGCTGAGCGCAACTGCTTGGGTTTCAAAGTTTACTAAACACCAGAGACAGGAAGTTTCACTGCCTTCACTTGCGAAGGAGCTTCCCCTCAGGGTTGTGTGGGTTTCCTTTAGCACAGCAGAAGGTGGGGGAGAAAATCAACACCCCTGAAACAACCCCCAGGACGAGGAGCTGCAGCACGGCTGGCCAGAGTGCCCACAGCTTCCCCGGCCTTGCTCCATCCACAGGGCCGTGTCCCCACCGTGTCCCCTCCTTTCCAGCTTTCTGGGCCCCACGGGAGCCCCAATCCTGCAATCAGGTCCTGACAGAGCTGACCTGGGCACAGGGCAGAGCAGGTTGTGCTGTCCGATTGCAGCCCGGGCTAACAGCCAGCTGCCCATCCTTGCCAAAACATTGATTTTTTTTTTCCCTTTCCCTGCATGGGGGGAGTGATACAGTCCTGGGTGCTGGTGGGGGGTAAAAAAACAACCACCCCCTTCCAAGCCGGAGAGAAAACCGTGGCAAAGGTGGGCTTGGAAAGAATAAAAGAGACTCAGGTATCAAGGCAATGCCCAGAGGACGGGTGGGGAGCAGTAACCCAACCTGCCAGAGCGAGCAGCCAGGGCTGGTGGATCAAGTTGTGATACAAAGACGGTTACAAAAACCTGAACAAACAGACGGAGTCACCTTACGCTGGCCCCAGCTCGGGGGTTTGAGCACACAGCTGCGAGCCCGGCACTCCCTGGGGCAGCACGGCCCCAAAAGAGATGTCACAACCCAGGGTGGGAGCACCCCCGGGACCCCCGAGCCCCGTGGCTGGGAGGGGACCAGGCTGAGCCACACTCCCCTCTCCTCCTGAAGCCTCCAGGGCTGCTCCTGGCTGCCCCGGTGCCCGGCACTGCCACGTCTGCCCTGGCACTGCCACCTCCGCCCAGCGCCAGCCTGGAGGTTCACAGGGGACAGCGACCTCGGGCCACAGGGAGTGACCGGGACGAGCACCTGAGTCAGGGTCCCGTGCCAGGCTGAGATGGGACCCCAGGACAGCTCATTGCTGGGGGACCACAGCCAACCAACCCCGGGGCACCGGGCCCGGCAGCTCCGGGGACACCGGAGCACGAACAGACCCGCGGCTGCTCGTCCCCGTCCCCTTCCCGGCCAGGGAAGAGGAACCTGTTCTGTGCCGGGGGATAAATGATATTCCTGTCATTTTCCCTTTGGCAGCTCCGACCCGCAGCGCCCCGAGCCCCCGGTACACCCCGGTAGGAGCGGGGAGGCTCCAGCCCACCTCCGGTGACCGGAGCACCGTGACCTCGAGGGGATAAACGCTAATTACAAGGCTCATTATGCCGGGGCTCGGCTCTGACACCGCCCCCGGGGCCGGGGAGCCGGGGACGGGCGGTCCCGGGAGGCGCCGCCGCTCCCCGCCCGCACCGACAGCCCCGGGGCGCTCCTGCCCGCACCGACCGCGCCACGGCCCGCCCGGCCCCGGGCCCGCACTCACGGGAACGGCTCCTCGGGGCCCGCGCCGCCCCGCAGCACCACCATGGCGCGCCGGGACCGGGATCGGGACTGGGATCGGAAGCGGGACGGCGAGCGGAACCGGGAGCGGTGCCTCGCTCCGCCTCCCGCACCCCCGGCCCGCACCGGCGGCACCGGGCCCGGCACCGCCCGCTGGAAGTGACGTCACGGGGGCGGGGGCACGGGAACCCCGCCCCGGGCGTCGCGGGAGGTGGGGCACCGGCGGTGCTTCGGGGAGCCCCTGCAACCGGGGCTCGGCGGCTGCCGGACCCCATTAACCCCGCGTGAATCCCTGTTGTCCCCCGTTAACTCCCCCGTTAATCCCCGTGAACCTCCAGTTAACCCCCGTTAGAGCCGCGTTAGCCTCCGTTAACCCCCGTTAAACCCCCCGCTGCCCCCCGTTAACCGCCCCCCTTCCCCGGTTCTCCCGGGCCCGCGCCCTGCCCGGACCCCGGGCGGCCGCGGCTGCTATGCGGCTTCGCGGCGCACGGCCTGCACCGGGTAAGGGGGACGCGCCGCCGCGCCGGCCCCGAGGATGGGGTCGGCACCGGGAACGGGACCTCCGCCGCCGCCGTAGCCGGGACCGGGAGTCGGGGGCTGGGCGGGAGCGGGGCCGGGGACCGGAGCGCTGGACCGGCCGCCTCTCCGAGGTGGGCTGGGCCCTCCGCTGTCGGTGCCGGGCGGGAGCGCGGCGCCCCCTCCCCCCGCGGCCGGTTACCGGCCGCCTCCCCCACGCGGGGCTGCGGTTCCTCCCCCGCGGCCGTTCCCGGCCTGGACGCCCCGTTCTCCCCGGGCGCTGCTGGCCGGGCCGGGCAGAGCCCCGTGGCCCCTCCCGGTGCCCCCCCCCCCAGCCCCCGGGCCCCCCGGGCCCGTCGGGGGGGGGGCCCACTGGTTTATACTGGTCTGTACTGGTTCCAGGTGCTGGCGGCTGTACTGGAGCACGCGGGACGCCCGCCGCCGCTGCTGGTACCGGTGCCGGATCCTGGAGCAGCCCCCGGGGCCCGCGGGGGGGGGGGCCGGGGCCCCCCCCGGGCCCCCCCCCCCCCAGCCCCGCGGTCTCCCGGGTCCGGTCGGCGGAGGGGCCAGGCCGGGCCGACCCGGGCTCGCCTCTCCGTGTCGGGGAGGCGGCCGTTTCCCCCGGTTCGCGGGAGCAGGGCCCGTTTGCGCCCCGCCGCCTCCGTGCCCGGTCCTTCCGCGGGCCGCCGGTGCCACGTGCCGCCGGGAGCGGGGCCGGGCTCCGTTTTGGGGATGGGACTCCTCTCCTGGGGCCCCCAGCCCCGTCCGCCCCCGGGGACGGCACCCACCGGGCACCCACCCGGTCCTCCTCCTCCTCTTCCTCACTCCGTCCCCGCGACAGCCCCGGAGCCCTTCCCGGCAATGCCGGCAGCCCGCCTGGGGGTGTCCGGCCGCGGCCAGCCCGGCCCCGGTGTCGGTGGCACAAAGGGCCTTCCGTCACACCCCCGCTGCCTATTTTTAGCCGCTGTCGCTCCCGAGCACCTGCCCCGGGGACGCGGGTGACGCCGCCTCGGGTCCCTGGCGGGGACCCCCGTCACCGCCCCGCGGCGGGCACGCACCGCGGCCCCGGGCGGCCGGAGGGACAAAGGGGCACGGCTCAAGGTCACCGGGGTGCCACGGGGCCCTGGCTGTGGCCTCGCCACCCCGGCTGCCCTGTGGAGCAGCGGCAGCGTGGCCGCGGTGCTCGAGGAGGCGGCCCGGTGCTGGCACCGTGTCGCCCGGCGAGCCGCGGCGGCGGCGGGGAGCACGTGCCCGGCTCGGTCTGGCTCCGGTTCGCTCGTGGATGGCGCTGGGGACGGGGTTCGGGTGCGGGGCGGGGCGGGCAGCGTCCCTGCCGCGACCTCTCCTCCGTGGTGGAGGAGAGAAACTGAGGCACGCTGGCCCGCTTGTGCCGCGCCTCCGTGGCTCCCGGTGGAGGCGGTGGCTGCTGAGGTCGCCGTGACGGTGGCGACGTGTCCGTCCGTGGCGTGAGCCGAGCCCGGCCGGGCCGGCAGCGGATGCGCGGGGGAAGGGCTCCCGCCCGCCCGGCCGCGGCCCGGCCCGCACCGGCAGCGGGTTCCTCTTTCCAGAATGCGCGGGACCGTGGCGGAGCTGCCGGGCCCTGCGCGCCGCCGGCTGTCCTGGCCCCGCAGCCCCTGGGTCTGGCCCCGCGGGCAGTCCCCGTGAGGGTCCTGCCGTGCGTGCCCCTGGGCAGCTGGAGCGGGGATTGCCGGTACACGGCACGACCGCGGGGCTCGGTGAGCTCCTTCCCCGGTGAGCTCCTTCCCCGGTGAGCTCCTTCTCTGGTGAGCTCCTTCCCTGCCGTCAGTGCAGGCGAGGTCACTGCTGGGAACTGGCTGGATGCAAGGGCTGCTGGCCTCACCGGGGCTGCTTACCTCACCGGGGCTGTTTGCCTCACCAGGGCTGCTGGCCACACTGCCCTGCCGTGGCAGACTGGGGCTGCTGGCCACACTGGGGCTGCTGGTCACACCGGGGCTGCTGGCCACACCAGGGGCTACTGGTCTCATCACCAGGGCTCCTGGCCACACCAGGGTTGCTGGCCTCACTGGGGCTTGCTGGCCTCACCGGGGCTGCTGTCCACACCAGGGCTTGGGAGCGCAGTGCTAGAAGAGGTCCAGACTGGAGTGTTGGGGTTCAGCAGGGCCCAAGTGTTATGTGCTGATCCCCTCAGTGTTTTCCAGCGGGGCAAAGAACACATGATCTGCTTGCAGCCCCACCTTGCCCTGGAGTCCCCGGGGGAAGGGGAGCGAGGGGGCTCTGGGGGCGGTTGGCAGAGCCTGTTTGCCCGGGTTTCAAGGCTCTGCCTGTCCATCCCCTGGGATCTGCCCTGGGGTGCTTTGGGGTCCCTCCGCTGTGCAGCACAGACCCCAGCGCTGCCCACGCCCCAGTGCCATCACTGGGGAGCCCGGTGCTCCCCGTGCCGTGTGTCCCTGGTGGGGATGTGCCTTGTCCCCTCTGGGGGACCCGGTGGACGTCTCTCCCCAGGGCCTGTTATCTGCGGGCGTGGGTCCACCGGTATCCGCTGCCTGCAGGGCCGGGCAGGGCTATCGGGTCCGGCAGGCCCCTTCCCCCTCCAGCAGCAGGCCCGGCCGCCCTATCTCATTAGCTCGAGATTAATGAGGCTCCTGCGCTGTCTTTAACTCCTTCCTGCTCACCAGCTCCTGCCCACAGCTCCACTGACCCTCTGCTCTACTTCTCCCACAGGTTTGCGCCGACGCCTGCCGGACACTGACCCAGCTGAGGATTAGGGACACCACCTGTGAGCAGGGGACCCCGAGGCTGCCACCCCCAGAAAGTGCCAGCTCTGCGAGGGAAAGGGTGATGTGCCGTGCTCCAGCTGCTGCCTGCTGAGCCTGAGGAGGAGTTTTGGAGCCTGCCTGGGACACTTTGCCCGACAACAGCAGCACCCCAACCCCACCGGGCAGCACAAGCCTGCGACACACCGTAGCCCTTAAGCCAAGGAGACATCGGACCAAGCCTGAGGGGGGTCAAGGGCCACATCCTTCTTCCCTAACCCGCTGTCAATTCCTGCCCTGACGGCACTGCCCTCGCCCCCCGGCAGCCCCCTCCAGGGCTGCCTCCCCCCGGCGCTGCCCAGCTTTGGCCGCCAGCCCCGCTGGAGCGCGGCAGCCTGCCGGGCGCTGCCCCCCGGGCACTGCCCCCCGGGTGCATCGCCCCCCGCCCCCCCGGGGACCCCCCGCCTGCCGGCAGAGCCATGAAGCTGCAGGCGGTGATGGAGAACCTGCAGCGGCAGCAGCGCGCGCGGCTGCAGCAGGCGCTGGAAGCGCGGCAGCAGGAGCAGCAGCAGCAGCCACCGCGCTGCTCGTCCCCCTCGGCGCAGCCCTCGCAGCCCCCGGGGCAGCCCCCTGCCAGCAGCCGGGGCCGTGGGCAGGATCCGGCCTCTTCGGAGGAGGGAGCGGAGCCGGAGAGCACGCACATCCAGCGGGCGCAGATGGCCGCCCTGGCTGCCATGCGGGCGGCTGCTGCCGGCCTCAGCCACTCGCCCAGCCCGGGGCTGTCAGATGAGAGCCAAGCCTCCGAGGAGGAGGAAGAGGAGGAGCGCGGCGAGGAGGAGGAAGATGGTGGCGGGTACCAGCAGGAGATGGGCTCCGAGGAGGAGGAGGAGCTGTGAGTGTGCTCGGGCAGGGCTCAGGGGTTTGGGGAAGGGGCAGGGAAGTGGCACAACACTGGTGGGTTTGGGCACAGCGTGCTGGGGAGGTTGTGGGGATCCTGTGGCTTGGGGCGGGTTGTGGGTTAGAGCTATTGGGATCTTTCAGAGCAGGAGGTGCTGAGAGCAGTGGCTCGGCTCTGTGGCAGTGATTCCTCGTGCTGGGTTGGCACAACATCCCATCTCTGCCCAGCAGCCACGTGGGGCTGGGACAGAGGACCCCAGGCTGGTGTTAAATTATGCAGGACCCTTGGCTGCCTCCAGCATGCATCCTCTCAGGGCAGGGCAGGGCCAGGAGCCATCTGGCAGAGGAGAGGTCTGTGACAGAGCTGCTCCTGGGATACTGGGGGCCGGCCATGCCCCACAGAGCTGCCCCCACCAATGGGCTGTACTGGGGCTCCACGGTGTGCTGGGTGGGTGGTCCCAGCCCCGCAGCTGGGGCGGGCAGGAGAGAGGGATGGGCCTTGGGGAACCAGCGTGGCACCAAACCTCTCCTCTCCTCCTGGCTCCAGAAAGGGCAAATGGGATGAAGACGACTTTGAAGAGGACCTGGGTGAGGAGGAAGAGGAAGAAGAGGACGAAGAGGAAGAGGAAGACTACGAGGAAGAAGAAGACATGGGAGAGGAAGGGCTCAGCTCAGCAGAGGCGGTGCGGGCGGGTGCGGGATCCCTGCTGCTCCGCAAGCCCCCGGCACCCCAGCACTACCGGGGGGAGCCCCCACGGCTGCCAGGGGGACAGGAGCGGCTGCCCCCCGGCCTGGGCCACACTCAGCCCCCGCCACCAGCACCTGACCACGGCGACTGGACCTACGAGGAGCAGTTCAAGCAGGTACGTGCCCACCGAGACACGCGTGTCCCTACCGTGCCACCCCTCTCCCTGCTCCTGCGCACCCCTGTGTCCTCACCAGCGTGGGGAGATGCCTCTGGCAGCGCCGCCTCCGGCAGCGTTCTCCTCGGATCCAGCTGTTGTTGTCATTAGGAATGCGTGGGATTTCTCTGGGGTTTTAGTGCTGGGCTCAGTCTCGCCCCTTCCCTGGTCGGGTGACTCTGAATGGATCCCGTGTCCGGGTTGTTCTGGTACAGGCAGGCAGTGCCATTGGGTTTGCTGCAGGGATCTGGGAGGATTCTTGCTGAAAATTATGAAAAAATCACCCCAGACTTGAAAATCTGATGGATCTCTTGGTTTTCCTCTTCTCCACCCTCCCCAAGCCATTTTCCATGGGGTCCTGTCTGTCTCCCATCACTACAGAGCTGATGCCTGGCAGGACAACTCTGGCCCCATAGATGCTTGGTGGGGGGCAGAGCTGCACCCCTGCTGCTGCCAAAATGCCATGAAAAAGTGAAACCAGTGAGAAAGCACCTGGCTGCCCTCTTCAGTGCCTTCCCCAGGCAACGGGGCCAGCACATTCCCACTCTCCTGGTGCCAGAGCTGGCTGCAGTCTGCTCTCACTGATAGAAGAAAACGTGCTGTAGCCAGGGCTCCCCGGGGGCTGCCCGGCACCTTTGATGTGTGTTTAAATACATCAGAGTTCGGGGCTGGGGGAAGGGGCAGGACCAGCAGCAGCAGATGGGACCCAGATGGAGCGGCCAGGGCATGGTGGCCTTTGAGGAGGGATGCGACCACCTCTGCCCCTTCACTTTCAGGAGGCTGTCGCATCCCTTCTGAAACGGGGGAAGGGGCTGCCGGGATCTGCTGGCACATGTGGATGTGGGCAGGCTCAGAACAAGGCTGGCAGAGGGAGTACCAGCAAGCAGGGAGCATGTGGCCATCATCCTGGTGCTGCCTGGCTGCGGGGATGGAGGGATGCTCCTGTCCAGCTGGAGGGACGCTCCTGCCCGTGCATCCCTCGTGCCGCTGCACCCCGGCTTACCTGCTCTTCTTGTGGTTTCTCTCTCTCGTGCTTCCTGCCGCCGGGGAGCGAGGGGCCAGGGCCGTGAACTCGTAGCTGTGAAAAGGCTTTTCAATACCGCAACTCTGATCTTCCTGTTCGTCAGCGTGTCAGTGCCGTGGCCCAGGCTGTAACCCACAGCACTCGGGAACACCAGCCGCGTTCCCCGCGCTCCCCCTGCCCCCCAAGCCGTGCCCCTCTCCCTGAGCACCCCCTCTCCCTCCACGTCCCTTCCTGGGCTCCCTGGGAAGAGCCCAGCTCGGCGGAAGCAGCCGGAGGGGGTTGAAAGCCTCCGTGGGTGGAGGAGCGGCGGCGACGCGCTGGGCCCGGAGAGGCTTTCCCCGGCACGTCAGCCCGTGCGGCCGCGCTTGGATCGCGGCCCCTGGACCGGGGCCAGGGGGTTGCTGGCGCAGCCGGTGCTGGCCGGGAGCTCCTCCTGGCCGGCCTCCAGCGCGTGCCGCCGGGCTCCATCCCAGCCCAGCTGGCGCGGCCTGGGAAGGAGCAGCAGGAATGTAAACAGCGAGGGCAGCGCGGGGCAGGGGATGCCGTACCCCAGCCCCGCTCCTCGCTGCGCTGGAGGCGCCTTAGGGGGAGCCCTGGCAGCAGAGCACAGCGGGGTCTCCGTGTGGGTGAGCCAGCAGGGTTGTGGTGCTGTGTGTGGCTGTGCCGGTGTTCTGCCTGCTTGCTATGGGTTATTTTGGGGTTGATTTTATTTTGCCAAGGAGCTCCTCAGCACCGGCAGCACCCCTGCTCTCCCACCAATCTTTAACTTCCCTGGCTGTCCAGCTCTCCTAGCTGGGAGTTCAGATCCAGTTTGGATTCAGGTCTGGTTGTGCTGGTGCCACCAGTATCTTTGGCCTGTGGGTCTCTGTGCTTGAGGACGCCATCCTCACCGGGCAGTGCCACCATCCAAGCCCCCGTGCCTATCTCCACACCCAAACCCTGGCAGCCAGGGGCTGCCCCCATCCTCCACTGCCAGGTTTTATTGACCCATCTGGGACAGATTCCTGTGAACTGGTGCTCGGCTGAGCCGTGGGGGGCCCGGAGGCAGGAGGATGGGGCCCAGTTCAAGGGAGGAGGAAGGGGAGGGCGTGAGGAAGAGTTATGGAGGTGAGGGAGGTTAGGGAGCCGGCGCGTGGCACCTCCCCGTCCCCAGGGACGGCTACTGCACAGGCAGAGGTCAGCTCGGCCTGACCCGGGCGCTGCCGGCGCGGGCAGCAGAACAAAGGAGCCCCCGGCACTCTGGGAACTCGGGGCAGCGGTTGCCCAGGGCACCGTGGCTCCTCGGGGTGGGGGGGAAAGGGGGCATTTTCTGGGTGGGAAGAGGCTCCCCGTGGGAAATGGCTAAAAATCCAGCAAGCTCCTGCCAGCAAAGGGCTGCTGGGGGTAGAACTGCTCGGAGTTCTGTACCCCAGCACTGTGGGGGCTCTGCTGCTGCTGCCCCCCATGATCCCTGCTCTGATATTTCTGTTTCATTACTGCTGTTACTGCTCCCTGCTAATACCGGGAGTGGGAGGAGTGGGAGCCTCTGGTGGAGTGGCAGCCCCTGGAGCTGGAGTTTCCAGCCTCTGCCTCTTTTGGAGTTTCCTGTGCTGCTGGTGCTCCCTCAGGCACGGGCACCCTGCATGCCAGTACCCCATCCCACATGGCAGGAGCTCGAGGAATCCATCTCCCCGTGTTCACCTGGCTGCAGCAGCCACCACTCTCCCTCTGGGCTTCTCCATTTTGGGTGCTCCCTTTTGGGGTGTCCTGCAGTGGCTGCCTCAGGCTGATGTTTAACACCCCATTTCTGCTTTGGGAAGGATTTAAGAGGTCACCGCAGTGCCAGTGGGAGGCTGTGCCAGCCAGGGGGTTTTGGGGGGTGCTGGTGCTTTAGTAGGGCAAGAGGTTTCTTGTGTTGGGGACATCTGAGCCGTGCCGGTGGCACACAGGCGCGAAAACCTCAGCCCTTATCTCGGGTGGTGCAGCGCACCCCGAGATACAGCGTTTCAAAGTGCACTGGTGGGGGAAAAATAAACCGAAAGCAACTCGGCGACCTCGGCAGGGCTGCGGGGGTGGGTGAAACCGGAGCCCCCTCCGCCCAGACCAGCCCTGCGCACATGGCTGGTGGAACTGGGATTTTCCAGGAGGGTCTGGAGGAGCAGAGAGCCCGTAGCTCCTCTGAATCCCCCAGGAGCTGGTTAAGGCGTGGGGGATCCCCTCTGAACCCCTTTCTCCCGTGGATTATTCTCCTTTTCAAAGCCCAAAGCCAGCTGGGGGCGTGGGGCCTGAGCAGGGGCCCCGTGGCCTCTTAACGAGGGCGGGAGGGTCCATTTACTTTCTTTAAAATATTGATTAGAGCTTTATTGCATTAGCCAGCCGAGCGGATGAGCCGCCCCCAGGGAGGGCGAGGGGGCCCCTGAGCAGGGAAGGGGGACCCGGGTGTCATCACACGGCCGGGGGGCCGCTGCCCCCCACCCAGAGGCAGTTTGGCTCCCAGATAAGGGGCAGTGCCCTGGGGCCCCCGGTTGGGCGCTGCTGTGCCGGGGAGGTGATTGCGGTGCCTGGCCAGGCCAGCAGCAGATAACGCAGGCAGGAGGGGATCTGAGCAGGACAGCACTTTGGGAGCAGTGGGGGAGTCACCAGTGGACCCCTCCCAGGAAAAGGGCTGCGTCCTGCCCGCCCACCCATCACCCCTCTCACCCTGCACCGGCGTGCCAAGGGGTGCTCCCAGCCGGGGATCCGGCACAGTAATTGGCTCATAGAGCTCAGGGAGCATTCCCGGGGCTCTAATCCCACCAGATCCCTGGCCAGAGGTCAGGGACTTCTCGGCGAGAGCGGCTTAGCCGCCGAGTGCCTCCCCCAGCCAGACGCCCGGGTGCTCACAGGTGCTGGTCCTGGCATCTGAGCACTCTTGGAGACATTTCTCCAAACAAGACCCAGGATGATTAATGAGGCTGGGGGACAGGGGACACCTCCTTGCTGTTCGAGGTGCCCAGCCAGTGCCTTCATCCAGCTGGACCGTGTCCCCAACACCCGTTGTCTCAGGAGCTGGGCTGGCTCCCCACAGCTGGGGCATTACCTGCTTGTGTCCCCCCGAGGGGGCATTTCCCCCATGCCTCGACCCCCCCCAGAGCCCCATTTCCCCCCACCCCTGGCCCTCCCAGAGCCCTGTTCCCTCCACGCCCCAGCCCCCCAGGCTGACTCAAGGGCTGCGGAGGTGGCGGCCGCCTCCCCTCTCTCTCGGCACAGCTGAACTAACAGGGTTTATTTAAAAGGGAAAAAAAAAAAAAAAGAAAAGAGCAGTGCAGGGAGCAGGGCCTTTGTCAGCAGAGCCCCCTGCCCCCACCGCGGCGTTGGGCAAGGGCAGCATTGCTCCATCACCCTATTTCTGGCCCAAACCGCAGGAGAAATGGCAGCTGGTCCCAGGGCCTGGCCGGACGTGCTGCAATCAGGGGCCAGGGCGGGGGGTGTTTGGGGCTGGGGGGCCCTGCTCAGAGCCCCTGGGGCAGCCAGGCTGGGGGCTCAAGGTGCAGCTCCTGGCCCAGCTCGTGACCCACTCCCTGACCCTTCCCATGGGTCACTTAATCTGCCTGCGCCTGGGTTCCTGCTCTGGCTGGAGCTCGGGATAATCCGCCCTGCACTGGGGCTGCTGCAGGCCGGGGCTCACCCCTGGGGAGAGTCCCCTGCTCCTGGGTGTCCCACGGGGAGGGTGTGGCCGTGTCACTTCTGTGGCAGCAGTCCTTTGGGAAAGGGTTCCCTGTCCCCCACAGCAGCTGGCTCGGGTGTCACCCACCTGGTACAGGTGGCAGTGGGAGCACCCAGGCAGGTACCAGCCCTAAACCCCTTCAGCAAAGGGCTTCACCTCCTACCCTTGTTTCCCCTCTACCCACATCCACTGTGGAGCCTCCAACTTGGGCACCAGTGCCTGATTTTGGAGATTCCAGCACCTGGGACGTGC